CTTGAGAAGAAAAATAAACTATTTTTTTTTTTTTATTTAAATTTTTTTTTTTTCAACGTTTATTTATTTTTGGGACAGAGAGAGACAGAGCATGAACGGGGGAGGGGCAGAGAGAGAGGGAGACACAGAATCGGAAACAGGCTCCAGGCTCCGAGCCATCAGCCCAGAGCCTGACGCGGGGCTCGAACTCCCAGACCGCGAGATCGTGACCTGGCTGAAGTCGGACGCTTAACCGACTGCGCCACCCAGGCGCCCCGAAAAATAAACTATTAAAATGTAATAAAGTATGACCAAAAAGTCATAAATCTACAATTCCAGCACAAGTTGTTTGAAAGGTAATCCGCAAAGAGCTATCTAAAAACTTTTCTACATAGCAGGATAGGAGTGGCATGATACGGTTTTCAGATCCCATCTAATGTCAGGTAATGTTTTTGGTTTGTTTTGTTTTGTTTTAATTTTTAAAATTTATTTATTTTTTGAGAAAGAGAGAAAGAGAGAGAGAGCACGTGCACAAGCGGGGTAGGGGCAGAGAGGAAAGACAGAATCTGCACCATCAGTACGGAGCCTGACACAGGGCTCAAAACTGCAAACTGTGAGATCATGACCTCAGCTGAGATCAAGAGTTGGACACTCAACTGACTGTACCACCCAGGCGCCCCTGTCAGGTTATGTTTTAATCTGAATTTACCCAAAGCTAAATATTTCTTCAATGTAAACTCTACAGTTAAAACATTTTCATAAATTAATGATCCCTAGTTTCAAGGAATGAAAATACTAAAATACTCAAGAATAAGTCTGTATTCCAAATAGGTAACTTAGAAATAAATCTATTTGATGTTCCTAATTCAGGAAAATTAAAAAACATGTGAATACTGAAATTGACCCTAAGCAATTCCAAACCTGCTAAAATAGGAATTTAACTTCAATTTGCACCTTAAGTATTAAAACTTGGGCTGAGATTGATAAAGACCGTCAATTTCAGAGTTTCAATGGAGCACAAAATGAGAAAGAAAAAGCAGAGGAAGATTAGTGCAGTTGCTAAGAGGCAGATGTTAGGTGAGCAAGGAGCCACCATTCAGAGGTCAGGTGACCAGCGAAAGACTGGTTACAGGTATGTAGCTCCTGAAGCACATTTAGGATTTTGATAAAGTACGGGCAGAGATGGGCTTTGTATACTGGCTGTATGTATCATCTACATATACAAACTATATATATATAATCCAGGAATTTGTAAAGAAGGAATTCAAGAGTAGAAGTCAGATGGGATGGGATAGGATGGGATGGGATCAGGACAAGATCTGAACCTGGCCATAAGGAATGTGAAGATAGTATAGGTGAGGTGGGAGTGGATAGAGATGAGGAGGAATGGAGAGTAGAGATGAAAAGCCTTAATCCCAGTGAAAATAAACACAGAAATCAAAATCTGGGTTTGCGGATACTGAAGACCCAGACAAATAAAACTAGAACTAGCAACAGATTCTAGCCAGATCTGACTGGATGACAGGGAAAAGAATTCAGACAATAACAGGCTGGATGTGGCACACAACACCTACGGCAAGTTGCTAATCTGAGCAATCGAGGTAGGGGCACCTTTCTGGGAGTCTAGCCGAGACTATGAGGGGCCAGGGTGTAGACATCCTTGCCAAGAATGTTCTTCACCTGAAGTCTGCAGGTTCTTGTTTATTTTGTAGCAATCTTGCTAAGGGTTTGGCATAACCCATTCTTCCCTTTCATTTCCTTAATCACTTCAACAGGGTGGGTAATCTCTAATGAGCATCTGGGGAACAATGACACCTACTGTTTGAGCTACTGTATCTGCAGTAATCCCGCCCATGAAATGGCAGCAAGTCAGATTTGTAGCCACTCTTTCTTTCCTTTGCAATAAATAAATAAATAAATAAATAAATAAATAAATAAATAAATAAAATAAAATAAAAATAAATAAATAAATAAATTAGATTAAATTAAATAAAGTAAAATAGGACGAATGGTTCTGGTGGGTTAGGCTAGGTGCTGAAGAAGTGCTGAAATTTCAGAAGACAAAGTTCTTATCTGCGAAGATATTTAATCTAGAATGAGATTATATGAGTGCATGTCTATTTATAACAGTCCTACCTTACAAGAGAAAAAAACTGAGGATAAATGAAATGTATGGTAGACTAACATATGGCTCAGCCATGAGTGTTTACAATAGAGAACTGTAATCACAGAAACTGAAATTCTACAAGATGAAAAATGGAGCAAGGTCATGACTGAAATGGCCTCTCTGGTTCCCAGTTCCTGCATCCCACCTTCCTTCTTCCCCCAGCCACAGAAAGGTCCTAGAACCTCCATGAGTGGACTGCATGTCCTCTGCATGCTCTCCAGCTCTATCTATCCTCTGCCTCAGATACAGATTCTGTCTGCATTATACATAACGTACCGGGTCTCCACTCCAATAGCTGGATGTTTGTCTGATCTCCTGCACCTGAATTTCTTTATGGATCATCTATTTTCCTTCCTCTGAAACTGGAGCCCTGCATTGCCTTTATCTTCTGTTTTGATCCAGTCTTCCTAAAAACTGCCCACTCCCAGACTTACAGCCACTGAGTTTTGCCATTCTACCTAATGCTGGACCTTACAGAATAAACCACCAACTGAATCTCCTGCCACTGACCCGCTATTTCATTCCCGTCCCTCTGGCTGGCTGCCTGTGGCTGGATTTACTTCTGCTGAGTGCCCATCTCAGCTGATGTGCTCATCTCTTGTTTGGACCTTTCCTCTCTGTCTCTACCCCCCCTCAAAAACAACAACAACAACAACAACAACAACAACAACAACAACAACCAGTTAACAATGTCAAAATATAATATACAGCACACAATATTCAACATTCCTAGTCAGGGAAGATATCATTTTGCAACTACCAGTCACTTTTTACTTTTCAAAGGCACAGTAAATATAATTTTGGGATTTTAAAGAGCCAATTTAGTTTTTCATCATGGTGACAAATCATTACGAAATTCGTAAGTCTTACAGTTAACTCCCCTTTCTGAGCACTGTAGGAATGAAATCTTAATAAAGTAGGAGGGAAAGGGAGATAAAGAAGCTACAGAAGTTTTAATATATTTAAAACATTTAAGCATTCATTTGTTCTTACTAAAGGTAGTGTCAAAAAAGTGCACTAATTTATAAACTAAATTAGCAGTGGACATGTTATGTTTCTAGTTCAAAAATCTGGAAGAGCTGTAATCATAGTTAACAATCATGTTTTCTGTCTTCCACTTGAATTCTGTATGCTAGAGTAACCCAAGAAAAGTTAATCTCAAACCAGCCATGCAAATAACTTGAAAACAAAACCAAAAAAACTCCCTGTAAACAGGTTCATGTGTTACTAAGAGATTCTCCCTACTTCATGTCAAGTAGATAATAAAAAAAGTTAAATTAACTTGTATGAACCTAGTTCTTAAATAATTTCTAAGACTATCATATAATGTTATTCAGAAAAATAAACTACATTTGAGATTGTAATTTCAGGCCAAATAATAATTATTATTTCATTTGTGATACAGCTCTACTTCGTTAAATTTTCAAAAGAGCGTCTGCTCGTAACTTCCTTCTTCTGCAACTTTAGCTCTCCTGTAATGTGGGCTAGCGTGCACATTCATTATTTTTTCCTACTTCTATAATATTTTAGTTTTTATGACATTTAACATTGAAAGGTCAAATAGCCTCAACCAAGAGTTGTGGTAAATACATTTTCTTTACATTCTTTTACTTTCATTTTGCAAGTATAGAATTTCTTTTTCAAGACTAAATAATTAGTCTAAATAATTTTTAAAAATTATCACGCTAGAAGACACAATTATGTCTCTTTAAGGACTTAAGACATAATTTCCATCTGCTTTTTAAAATGGTTAAAAAAAAATAAAATTCAATACTATGTAAAACATAGATTGATGTTGCCCAGAGGAATAAAAATAAGACATTCCGAGAACAGTTCTCATTAGTTGGCATGATCTAGTGCTGTAGTCTTTTGTATTGTGTAAAATTTAATTTCCATTAATATATGATAATCATTTGTTTGATATTACTGTGTGTATTTACATAATGAATACCAGAGTCACCACATACTGGGCAACAACTTCCTCATGTGTTTAAGGTAATTGTATAGTTGAGGTAGCCTATGAAGTAGAATATGCTGATTTGATTGGCAGGAAACCAGAGTGAATCAAATGGACCACCATGTTGTCTCAAACTAAAACCTCAAATGTTCTCTCTTTTGCCACAAAGTGATTATGCAATATGCTTCAAGTTGCTGAAGGACAAAACAGTACTGAAAAGCAATCACTTGGCTAAGACTGAAGTCCTATGACACATTTCTGAACTATTGTTGGTTGAATTAAAGTCTAAATCTAACTCTGGGGCTATTACAACAAATCAGATTAAAAAATAAACAAACTCTTTATCACACATCCTGACATTTCTTTTAAAAAAGTAGATTTCACAATTGAGGAAAGAGTTAACATCTACTTTGAATTCTGTAAATTTACCTGTTGTAATAGCTGTTATTCTGCCTCTATAAGCTTTAGCAAATAGCCCTAAATTCCATCAACTCACTGAATACTTACTTTCACACTTAACATAGCCGAAGACTTTTTCAGCCAATGAGCCTTGTGCTCACACCCCTCCCCCATCTGCATATATGTATAGAATAGAAATTTTTAAGACACAGGTAACGGCCTAATCATCAGGAGGTTTCTGAAATTAAAATGGCTACCTTGGCATTTCTGGATTTAAAACAAAATATCTTAATCTTTTCAGCTCTGTTAATTTAAGATTTCTTAAACCAAAGAGAAGAAAAACACAGCATGAACAATATGATGAAGAGTTCTAATAAGCTTAGTTTGGCCATAGTGTAGAACATTCTATTGAAAAGCATTAAAATGGGCAAATAAACTCAAAGGAACCTCACCCCTCCTCCATTCCCTGTAACAGAACAACAAAAATCAAATAAATACCTCAAATAGAAAGGTGACATTGGTCTTTCATCCTCCTGCGAACTAAAAGGAAAATAAATTCTGAATTAATTTCTGTTAATATTTTGACATGTCAATTTTACTAAAATTCTGTTCTGCCTGTCAGAAATTTTATTTTGACACATTAGAGCTAATTTCACAAAGGAGCAAGGTTAATGAAACATACTCTACCTTGGACCTAGCCAAGGTCAATTACTTCTTCATGGGAGACCATCAGAGAGGTTTCTTTCAAGATTAGCCTAAGGCAAAAGTAATTCACATCACACTTTCAAGAGGAAGCTTTTTACTACCTTATTTCTACAAGCCCAATCCAAGTTCTATATATTATACATAAACTCTTAAAATGATTGCATACATACTCAATTACCTCAATAAAGTTAATTATAGCTCATTACCACAATGATGAAAGTAAGAAGCAGCCAACAAAATATCCCTGTTAAATGTGAGCCACTTCAGGAATGATGCCCTAGCAATGAGAGGCACATCAGTAAACAACACTCTTGAACTTTGTTTTTGGCAGTTACTTTAAGTATTAATGAGTATGGATAACACGTAAGGACATAGATGAAATTATAGAAATAGTTGACATTATTCAAACATAGAAGCAATATAAAACTTAATGCAAAGGTATTTTTAAAAATGTAAAATATATACAATAGTTTTCCCTTTAATATGTGTTTTTCTTTTGATAAATGACTTCAAGGCAAAGAATGAGTCAGTCTCTCTCCCTTAGTGTCTGCTGGAGTGATCTTTGAACCTTTTTGATTATGCATTCATGAAATCTGCTTTTAAGCAGCCACTCCCCTCAATATATGACTAAGTATCTACCTCTATTAATTATGTGCATGAATTAAACAGATAAAAGTAGAAATAGAAACTGTTAAAATTAAAAAGAAGCTCTAAAATTTTCTCCTGTACTCCTATGGCTAATCTTGTATACCACATGGGGTGCACACCACCTTAGGGGAAGCAACTAGGTAATCTCAGCTTTCCCTCTCAGCTTATTTTTTATTTTCTTAAGCAACATTGATGAAAAAAGTTTGCTTCAGTTGGTAATATATTGGCAAAATCTTATGACAAAGTTATACTGTAAAACACATACACAAAAACACAGCTGTCCTCCAAAGGTCTTAACATTTTAGTTGAAAGACAGCACACAAACTAAGACATACTATTTCTCATTCTTTCATGATTTTGGTTTCCAATTTCATTACAGCTTAGCTGTTCTAATGTTTATGTTGCCAAAGATTTTAATGTTTGTGATCACTTGTGCCAATTCTTTCTAAGTGAAGGGTAAGTGATGGATCAGCTTTATTATGGACTCTAATGTGGGTGGATTGAGGGCAAAGCTTGTAGAGTCAGGCTGTGCAGCTGAAGAGTTAGAGGTAACATGTGGGAAATGTCCAGGTGTCTTGGGAAAGAAGCCACCTGGAGCTGTGCTATTACAAGAGGGGACTACTTTAAGCCAAACTGATACAAGGAGCTTACATACTAGCTTCAAAATATTCCTTGAAAGCACTTAACAAATTACAAAAAATGCTGGAATTGGGTTGTTCCCAAATCAAGGATTCATGATCAAAAAGTACTAATTATGAGCAACACTATGCAAAAAGGCTGCAACTAAAAATCCATAACGGTTTTGTTATTATAGGAAAATTGCCTCCATGTGTTATAAAATGGGCACTGTACTAAGTATTTTTTTGCCCAGAACAGATCCTGAACTCTAACATGTAACAAAATTGAATGAAAATTAACAAGGGTACGTTAGTGAAGATTTAATTAGCAATATGGTTGGTTTCCTTAGAATTTAGATGATTTAGATGGTGCAGAGTTCTAAACACAGCTGTTCACATGTTTTGGCTAATGTTTATTTTGTGTGTGTGCTAAATTTCTTCGTAGCGGAGGCAATCAAAATCAATCCTTTCTGCCTTCACATTTTTTTCTGACATATTTATTCATTAACCAGGTGCCACCAGGTGCTCTAACATTAATTATCTCACGTAAATCCTCCTCCAAACCCTCCCTGGCACTTGCCTCTCAACCTGAAGAAAGTGGGCTCAGAGTGGGCAACATAACATATGCGGGTCACACAGCTAGTGATGTATAAATTACTATATTACATGTTAGTCCATTTTCGTTGTTTACCATCTTCCCTTCAGTTTTAACCTATCAGAATACGGTGGGATGAATAGGCGAAGAAAATTGATGTGACAGCCAGTCTGCATTCCAGCAGCCCTCAGCAAGATCTTGTGGACTTTATATCCCATCATAAAGATTCTAGTCACTCTACACCAGACTTAGTCGGTCCACAATGCATGACGACTGATAGCATGTATCAAGTGATTATATTATTGAAGTGTACTCTGGCAGTATAAGAATATCTCCTGATAGAAACACAAGTTTTTAATCATAAGCAAATATTTGTCAGGCTGCATCAGCCTACAGCCTACAAAACAAAGTAAAGTTGTCCATGAAAGACAAAATGAGAAACTCTTAATTTGGATATGTCCCTAAAGTTTAACTAATTTTACACGTTCCAAAAAAGAAAATGTAAAACTACTGAAATTTAAGTAAAATAAAACAGGCTTAGTATTAGATTTCTTCAGTCAGCAGTGGTCAACAGGGCAGAAATCCACATACAGTACTCAAGGACAACAATATAATTCAAAACGAAAATGAAAATAAATCAATTTTGATAGTTAATTAGCATATTTCTCTTTTCCTTTTCATAAAAGTACCTTTTCCTTGGGTTTAGTAATGTAATCTTGACAAAGGTATAGATTCTAAAACAACTGAAGCACTGATTTCAAATTAAGTCAATTAATTCTAAAAATCAATTTAATGCACTGATTTAAAGGCAATTTTAAGCAAAAATGGCTAAGGAGAATTCTTCCAAACATAACTGAGAAAACAAACTTTTCCATACAATTTACATATCAGAACATAAGACATTTGAAAAAAATCACCATTTCTACACTGGTACAAAATGGCTATTTTGTTATTGTTACAGTCCCCAAATGTCTACTTATAGAGGTTATTTATACCTGTTTCTGGATTTATGTCAATCTTAGGCATGTCTGATGGTATTAAACAAGTCATAGTTTTTGGCCTAAATTTTATTTTACTTTTTTAATGTTTTATTTCTGAGGCGGGGCGGAGGGGGAACTAGGGCAGACAGAGAGGGAGATGCAGAATCCGAAGCAGGCTCCAGGCTCTGAGCTGTCAGCACAGATCCCAACGTGGGGCTCAAACTCACAAACTGTGAGATCATGACCTGAGCCAAAGTCGGACACTTAACCGACTGGGCCACCCAGGCGACCCTTGGCTTAAATTTTAAATTGAGAATTATTTCTGACTCATTTTTAATTTTTTAAAAATAAGAACAAGTACCGCAAATGAAAAAGGGAGTGTGTGCCATAAAAGTAAACCAATGACAAATTCTAACAAGTTGGAATTCATTCAGTTTCCTCCTTGGTTATTAACATAAACTCCAGGTTTTAATTATTTCCTGTTTTCTAACCCTGAATAATGGCCAAGTTTAAGCAGCCAATTAGTTTCCCTTTGTTTTCTCTTTAAAATTCAAACATACATTGAGAGATTTGGGCAGCCACCTCATGTATGCCAGGCAATCAGGTGCCTGATGTCCTCAGACACATGGTGATCTATTCTCTCAAAACAACTGTCTCTGGGAAGAACACTGATCAAACAGACCCAAGTAACAGTCCAAATCTAGGAAGCTACAACTTTAAGGGCAATAACAGATATTATGTTTTTAGTGGGTCTTAATCGAACTTACTTATATGGCTCAACACTAGTAAATGCACATAAATGAATGAGAGCTAGACTTACAGTTTCTTCATGAGCTGTGCTAATTTCTAATGTGAGGCCAATGAATACAATGCCTATCAATTTAATTACATGGAAAGCTAACAGATATCACAAAATGTATGGCATTTTCTATGAGAAGAAACCAACGCTTTTGGGAGAATCCCGAGGGTGGTATTCAAAATGGAACTTCCTCTGCTGGATCAAACCACTGTTCCAATCAATTACCTTTTGAGTTATCTCAATAAATGCTCCAACTAGTCCCACTATCTAACTGGTTGGCTGGCTACCAAAAAAATGAACATCATCTGCATATTTAGCTACACACTTTAACTAAATCTTCGAGTGATTTGATCTAAAAGAAATAGTTCGCAAGTGTTCCTTGAGTACTGAGGAGTATGAAAAACAGGTAAATGCTAAGGATTAAGTTCCATTCATTGAAGAATCTAGGAAAACCATCAAACAACAAAACAGACAAATGACAAAGCAACAAAACAAAACAAAAACAACAAAACAGAGGAAAAGGGAGAGACCAAGTGAGGGAGTAATAAAAGATACAATTAAAAGTATTAAGTAAACATTTTTTCTGGAATTCAGGTTTTTCCCTCATGTTGCAGCAGAATGTGCTAAGTTTTCTTAGATGAATTTTCTTAGAGAATGATGAGGTGAGTGAAGTTAGCAGATTTTTTTTCCTTCCTTCCTCTGCAAAACCTAAAGTGTCACACTTGAGCATTTTCAATTTGTCCCCAGTGCCAGGCATTAACCATGTACTACTCCAAGTGGAGAGTGATGTAACAGCTGGTGTTGTCCTCAGATTTTTGGTTTGGCCTCATTCAGGAATATGGAAAAAAAGCCACAACAATCTCTCTGTTCTTTTTGGGAAACAAATGTAGATGTTTTCAGATTGGTTCGTAGCTAAGTGTTTGCAGCTGTAATTTTGGGGGGATATTTTTGTAGATGTACGTATATAATTCTTTGTAAGTTTTGTACGTATTATAAACCCAAACAGTTTTGGTTAGTTTTATTATTTGCATTTTGTGATTAAGAACACAACACGTGGCCAGTAGAATTAAAAACAAATTATTGAAGTTCAAGAGCAAATTGATTTTCCTGACCAAAGGGTAAGTGCAAAGAGGTGAAGCTGTTAATATTCATAGGACAACAGGAATTTCTGGCCAACACAAAGAGGTATTATTTGG